TCATATTTTTATATTAGAAATAATTAACTTTAAAATTCTCATTTTTATCATGTGATGTTTTATGGCCACCCAAATGTCTAAGAGCGCGTTTGGACATAAATATTTTTTTCCTTTTTTCCAAAAATATTTCATTTTTTTCGAAATCAGCATTTGTTCATAAATTTTTAATTTTCACTTGAAGATACATTTTGGAAATTTTCGAAAATTTGAAAAACTCCAAAAAATTATTTTTCAAAATTTTCACTCAAATCACTCACAACTAATAATTCTTAGTGGGCGTTTGGACATAAGAATTGTAAAATTTCAAAACAGAGTGAAAAATTCTTTCAAGTGAAAATGGTATTTGAAATTTAGAGTTGTGTTTGGACATAAATATAATTTTTGGTTATTTTTGAAGTTTTGTGAGTGATTTGACTTAAAATTTTGAAGCTTTTTGGAGTTTTTCAAATTTTTAAAATGCATCTTCAAGTGAAAATTAGGAATTTTATGAACAAACGTTGATTTCGAAAAAAAGTGAAAATTTTTTGGAAAAAAAGGAAAAAATTTCTTATGTCCAAACGGGCTCTTACACTGTGTTTGGATCGTTATTTTCCATCGTTTTATAATGTATTGTATTGTACTGTACTGTATTGTATCGTTTTGATGGATACAATGTTTGGATAGACTGTATCGTTTGTTGTTGTTAAATAACATCTTTATTGTTTGGTTTGACTGTATTGTATTGTATTGTACTGTACTACTAAGTTTACTAAAATACCCTCACTTATTTTAAATACGATGCTTATTAAGAATTAATCATAAAAACAATTTATTCATTTGACCTCCGCATCTTCCTCACATGGAATCATCATTCTACTATAATAGCGAAAGCCCCAAATTGATTTCACACAAACAAACAAAAAATTCACAGCCCCATCAAAACAGTATAGACAACGGACCTTGAGTTCCTGACCTTTAATGTAGCAAATAATCCATAACTTGAAGTGCATAATATAATAAAATTTCTAGCAACATGACATATAAAATTCATATCGATCTAGTCAAAGTCTATAAAATCCTCAATAGCTAATGCACAAAAAATATTTAGTCTAACTCAATTGCCAGGTGACGACATCAAGGTCAGTAAAAGAAATTTGCGGTCTTCCAATGGATACCCAATCACTGTGCCGCACAAGTCTGCATGTTTGCAAAGAAAAATATAAGCTTTCATGTGCATACTAGGCTCTAAATCCAACACTTGTACCATTTGCCATATCTCACTCTCAGGAATGGGTGGCATAGTTGAAAGGCAATTAATTGCATTAACCAAATTATCCATCTCACCTCTCAACATAGCAGTCATGCCTTCAAGATGATCATATTTAGATTTTTTATTCCTGCTAGAAGTCGGTACCTCTAAATATGCATTCGATTTACGTGCTTCCTGAGTTGATTGATATTGCTCATGTTGTCCATGTTCCTCGATATTTTTCAAAGAGGCAACATTCATGGAAATTAGTTCATCTACCTCATCAATAGTTAATGAACTATCACTTGATTTTCTCAAATTATTATGAGCACCCCTTTTTACCATATCTGCTCCAGTCTCAGCTTGCTTTCCAGTAGCTTTATCCCTTTCATATAGCTCAATTAGTTTATCATAATTTTTAATCGGCTTGTTTCTCCATTCACCAGCTTCAGGCTTAGCCTACACAAAAAAAGTACAATATAATAATGCAGAAAATAAGATAAACATTATAAGATGCAAAAAAAGAACAAAACTGCTAAAAATAAATGTACCTGTATTAATTGATCCCATACTTCAGATTCAACATTCCACATATTTGTGTTGGAATCCCATGCAAACCCGCTCATCCCATTTTGAAAGGTGTCATAATACTTGCTAAATTTTGTTTTAATATTTCTCATTCGTGAACTCTCTCTTTGATAAAAACTTTATCTGAAAATTTTGATTGCATCTCTTTCACTATATTGTCAATAGTGTGTGCAGTAAAAGTTCCACCAACATGTTTCCAAGTGTGTGCTCATAATAGAATACATCAATTAAGGCATCATCCATAGCATTTGACCAAATACAAACAGAAGTGTTATCTGAAAGATTTGTATCGCTTGAGGATGTCTTTGACCTTTTCGGCATATTGATAACTATATAATTAAGAGATATTCATAAGACTTAATGAAAAATTTATCAGACATTATTTGTAAGAGTTATAAAATAAAATAAATGCATAGTACATAATATATTTTATTCAAATAATAGCCGAAATTACTTTCAAACAACATCAAATAAATAAACACAAAAAAATTCGTTGACTTTTTCTCTCCTAGAAGATTAAACTTGATAATTTATCAACTCCCCCTTCTAAACTCCTCATTACTTTCCCTAGGATTTGGTGGTTCTTCATGCACATCATTATCATTCATAAGCTTTGCATCAACTTGTGCAAGTAACTCATTATTTGGATCTGCACCTCTTAAGTAGTTGTGCAAAATACAACATGCAAAAATAATAAGCTTTTGGGTTTCAACACCATATGACGGTTTAGTTGAACTAGAAATTATAGGAAATCTCTTTTTAAGAACTCCAAAAGCTCGTTCAATAGTATTACGCAAAGATGCGTGTCGCAGATTAAATAATTCACAAGGATTTCGAGGTGGATTTCGTGAATACTCTTTCAAGTGATATCGCTCCCCACGATAAGGCGTAATAAGTCCACTTCTCAACATCAATCCAGCATCAACAAGATAGTATTTTCCTAAAGTTAAAAAGTAAAAGCTTTAATTATTTATTCATCACATCTAACTTTCCCTAGATAAATATATGAAATATTTACCTTCTGGAAGTTTTAGCGGGTCTTGTCTATTTAACGCTTCTTTCATGATTCTTGAATCAGATGCCGTCCCTTCCCAACCAGCCAACACATATGTGAATTTTAAATCAAATGTGCATGTAGCCAATACATTTTGTGTTGAATAATCTTTTCTTCCACGGTATCTGGGTGTTTCACGTTGTAAAACTTTAATACGTATATGTGTTCCATCAATCGCACCAATACAATCCTGACATTATTATAATAAATTATATGCAATCAACCTTGAATTTAGCTAAAAGTTCAATAAAATTGTATTTGTGTTCATCTTAAAATATGGGTAAAATCTTGGGCTGCTGGCAATTTCAGAAGGAACTTGAGAGCCATCAGGTTGTTTAATAAATTTTTCATATAACTCCAAGATTGCTCGTAGGACAATATGAAAATGACGACTAACCGACTCCCCAGATTGTCGAAAGATGAAAGCTAACTCGCGATTCGTCGTATTATGTGCTAATAGGTAAAGTGGTTTTGCAACTTGCTCTTCAATTGTAGCTTGAAGTGTTGGTCTAAGATCACCCTCTCTAACTAACATCTCACATAGATCGGTAAAAGCTAAAGGAATCATTCTTATAATATTACGACAAAGTTCAGTTGAGAATAAATGACTCAATAATTCATGTCTAACTTGTTCACTTTCCAGTCGTATACCATGTGTGATTGTACGTCAGTCATTTTCAATTTCACGTACATAAGTCCAAAACCAAATAGCTACTAAGCAAGCAGCATATGTAGCTAAAGAGCTCACTTGTTCCAATATCTGTCTATTATTTTGATTATTCCGATCAGCCATCTATAATAAAATTAAGTGAGATACATCAACCAATTAACTACGTAAAATAAATATGAACCAAAAATAAACTCTTCTTCATAGAACACATTATGAAGTATGAAGGAGAATTCAGATACATACTAATAGGATTGTACAAAAAAGAGAATTCTAGTCAAATATTTCATCACATTACACTAAATTAATTAAGTAAATAGAAAAATATATAAGCAAATTTATTTGTTAAAACAGAAGCCACACATAATTCATGTTTTATATTTTTTGTCGGTTTTGACTGTATCAAACTAATAACTTCGTGCTACACTTTAAACCTTGATACTAACTTGAAAAATTATATCACCAGAACATATAGTTTGCAAATATCATAGATGAACTAACCAGAAAAAATACACAAGAAAAGAGATGGAAAACTACCGTATTGTTTGAGAAAAAGTGTTATTAATAAGTTATGGAGAAGACAAGGTACGAAATTGAATAGATATTTAGAAAAACAAAATTTCAACCAAATGTCACCATATAAATTATTTCAGATTTTTGGGATGCAAGCAAAGATAATGCTGTAAATATTATTGTCGTGTATATAAATAATACCTTTTTCAGCCAGTTTTTTCTAGGCACTTATTATTTAGAGGAAAATTCCCATAGCAACAGGGGAATTAATTAAGAAAAGAGATGAAAACTAACCTGTAAAAACTTTGTTGGAAAGAGACGAAAACTAGGGAAGTACATCGTTGACTAGTTGCACGGCAGAAAGAAGATGGAAACAAAGTACTTATTAGTTTGGTGAATATAATACAAATAATAGGGTAAAGGGTAAAATTGAAATATAGAATAATAAGTGTGGGCATAATTGGAAAGGAAAATACGTAACAATCCCACCACACCGATTTGATTGTTTCATAAAATGGGGTTTTTCATTGTTCCGGAATAATGAATTTAACAATACGATACAATCAGTTTTATATTAACAATCAAAACAAACATTGTATCTGAAATAACAATACCATACAATACAACCAAAAACAACCATCCAAACAATACGTTAAACTCCATACTCAATTAGAGTGCACATAAATTGAGACTAAGGAGTATCTCTTATGCCTTTTACCATTTTCTTTCTCCTTTACATAAAATTGTGGGGTTGAAAATGGGGTTGGGGGGGGGGGTGTTTGGTATCTTTGTAATTAGGGAGTGGTACAAAAGCACTTTTAGCACAGGTCAAGAAATAACAACCCCCAACTCAATCAGCATGCATACAGAGTCAGCTCAGTTCNGGGGGGGGGGGGGTGTTGTGTGTGGTATCTTTGTAACTAGGGAGTAGTACAAAAGCACTTTTAGCAAAGGTCAAGAAAATGCAACCCCCAACTCAATCAGCATGCATACAGAGTCAGCTCAGTCCCCATTCTGATGATGGCCGCTTTGGCCGCCAAACAACACAAAGTCACAAAATCAAAACAAACAACACTTCCTCCTCTGCTCACCTTCTATGACCCTTTCCCTCTTCTCTATTCTCCTTGGTTTCTGTTCTCACCTATTTATTTTCTCAACTTTCTCTCTTTTGCATTCGCTGAAAAGAAAGAAAAAAGGTAAAGACTTTCTCTGTTTCTTTTGCTGTGTAAAAAAAAAACCATTTTGAAGAAGAGAAAAGGGTGTCTTAAAATCTTGATATTTTATAAAAATGGGAAGCAAATGGGCTAAAGTGAAGCTGGCCTTAGGTTTGAATCTTTGTACTTATATTCCAAGAACACTTGATAATGATGATGAAGATGATAGTTCTCCCTCTGTTTCTGAGCCTGAGAAGAACTCCGGCGCCGCCCTTATCTCGCCGGCGACGGCTGACATCCAACGTGCTCCTCCGGCCACGGTGCCTCATGGGTCGAAGTTGTCCAAGAGCTTTAGTAGGTCTTCTAAGGTATATCTTTGTCTTGAAAGCTTTTTGATAAGTTTTGGAATTCTAGTATTTATTTGGTCAGTATGCAGATGTGTTTGGTTGGTAAGAAAATTTTGAAATTAATTTGTTTTGGAGCTGAGTAAAGAAGATATCTATCAATCTAGTAGTACCAGTAATAGTTTTTATGCTTTTCTTTAAGATTTTTGGTATTCATTTTTTGTTTCTTTCCCTCTCTCAATTTGGATGGAGTTACTTTTGCTTCTTTATTCTTCTATTTATGTCATGTAATATGTGGCAATCCCCTATTTCCTTTGGTAGATTTTGATTACCTGTTGTCTGCCTTTTTATGATTGGTGATGATTCATGGTACCCAAGTACTTAATCTTTCATATTGACTAAATTCTTACGGTGACTAACAAAAGAACAGAAGAAATGAAATGGTAATACTAGATAGAAAGTTTACCATAATGTCATTTTGTGTTTGTTATATTTGACTTCAAAAATGTTGATGCTTCCCCTTTAGTTAATTGAAAAGAAAAAAGCATAGTCGTCGTTGTATGTACAATTTGAACTCTTTTTCAGTCTTTTAGCATATTGATTTAGGTGTCTTCTGTTGCCAAATCACTCACATGATAAGTCTATTCAATTTTTTAACATTACTAACTTGAGAATTTTTTTCTTGTGTTTACTTCATAACTTTTCAAGTTGAGAAAAGTGAAGAGATCGACTATTTTGAGCTCTTGCATGTGATTTGTTCGTAAAAGCCCCTTTTGCAAGTGTGTGACTCGTTATAGCATCTCATAGATATTCTTTTCAATAACTTGGAAAAAGAGGTGGTTGTTCAGCAGCTTGCTTATTAAATATCCGAAATATGTATGCACATTTTTTCCCATTTGCTCATGTTGGTAGTCGGTTTCCATCCTTTATTTACATTTTATGATTTCTCGAAGTATAAAATGAACGCGTCCAAGATAAGGCCTGCATTTACTATATGTGTCCTTTTCAGGATCTTTGTTATTTTCTTTCACTAATAGAGGCATTTTACATATCTTGGACAATTTGAAAGGTGGCTTTTTCTGCAACTATCTTTGTAGACTCTTCATCTTAAAGTTTACATACTTATCCCAACCAAGAAAGGAAGCAGGAAAGTTGTGTTTCTCTTTAGCACAGTTTAGGTCATTGGCAGGGCCATAGATCTATTTTGTGGCTGCTGAAAGTGGCATAAGGGAACAAAATTTTGATCAATAGGGATGCTAATCATATTCTTAATAAGATTATGGATGGCCATCTTTTCATCTTGTTAATTTAGATGCCTTATGTTGTCATACCACTACTGTTGCTATGTCCTCAAGCTTCTTTAAAACTGAACATATAATCCATTTTTGATTGTGAAATGTGCTTTTAACCCAACTACTGTGATGTACAAACGGCGGCCCTTTATTTCTCGAGGAGATTAATAAGTTTAAGCTCAAGTTGCAGTTTTTTTCTAATTTCTTTTGTGTTGGTGATCTTATATGGAGCACTTTGGCCAAATCCTCTATATTCAAATGCGAGCCCTTTTAGGAGTACTATTTGTCTGGTAAACCAGTAGTGTTCAGTATGGGCAGTGCATGGTTCTCTGCAGGCTTAATTTCGTTCTTATGACATTGAAAATGTTATTGGCGTTTCTTGTCTTCTAGGACTGTAGTGTATTACTGTAATAGTTGCAGAACTAAAAATATTAGTTTATGCATATCTACTGCAGTTTTTGCCTCATATTGTCATGGTTCTTTGCATTATAGTATGTGATGCATTTTTTCTGATTGTACCTTTTCCCACAATTTATGCTATCTCATGTCATTAAATTGTTTTTACTATTCTATTCTTATCTCACCAGTTAGTAGTTTCAACTTGCAGAGAACGTGCTCTATATGTTTGGCTTCAATGAAGCGAGGGGATGGTCATGCGATATTTACTGCTGAATGTTCACATTCATTTCACTTCCAGTGTATTGTTTCAAATGTAAAACATGGAAACCAAATTTGCCCAGTATGCAGGGCAAAATGGAAAGAAATCCCTGTTCATTTTCTCAGCCTGGATACTCCCCTTGGGAGGGCTAGAATCAATCCTGTAGGCTGGCCCCAAAATAATGCGTTAACGACAGTAACACATCGTCCACCAGTAAGTCGTCCAACCCCCAATCGGCATATTTCACCATTATTTCAGGCTCCCGAGCCTGCCATCTTTAATGATGATGAACCTGTGGGTCAACAAGTTGATTCTACTGACAAAAGTGCTTTACATGAGAGTTCAATAGACATTTGTGACAGTAGAGCTGTAAAGATTGAAACTTTTCCAGAGGTTCCCGCTGTCCCAAGGTCTATACCTACAAATAATTTCTCTGTATTAGTTCATCTCAAAGCTCCTGGTTCAGTTTCGGTTCAAGATCCCTGCAGAAACGAGGCTAGTTTGCCCAAAGTATCCCACACGCCTCGTGCCCCTGTTGACCTTGTGACAGTTATTGATGTAAGTGGAAGTATGGCTGGCACCAAACTTGCACTACTAAAACGGGCTATGGGTTTTGTGATACAGAATCTTGGTCCCAGTGATAGATTGGCAG